TTTTTTTTTTTTTTTAATGATTAAAATTTGTATTGTGAACTATTTTCTTCTCTCTGACAGTTGCTGACAAATTCCTGTGCCTGACATTGCAGCTCCTGTCTCTTATACACATCTAGATGTGTATAAGAGACAGCTCTTCCCAGCATGCATTGTCGGCCTCACGTTCAGATGCCCAGGGCCTAACCAACTCAGAGGCCCTGGGCTTTTCAGCATTTGCTGAAACCCGAGACTCGGTGCACTCCAACCAACTGGCGTGCTGCAACTGTATAGACCCCCACTTCGTGAAATGTTGACAGAGAGGCTCTTGTTGATTTGCAGGCCCGCCTTCACTTAGGGCGGGCACTAGGCTTGCTGGGGGCCTTAGCCCAGAACATGTACATCATGGCAAGGCCCCGACTTGAGGGCTTAATCCTCACAAATGTATCTTTCCGTGTTCCGGCGGAGGAATCAGTGTAAGGGGATCGCCACAGAGCCTTTCAAACAAAGGCGTTTTCCGGAATTTGTCAGGAACTCTTTGAAAGGTGGGGTTGCGAAATAACCCCCCCCTTCGCCACACAGACTTGCGGAAGCCCACCTTTCGTCGCACGGACTTTCCAAAAGTTGGCCGTCGTCAGGGTATCGACCCTGACAGGTCCGTCAAGCCAGCCCTATTCCGCAAGAAGTCGAGGCGCCATTTGCGAAACGGGTCGGGCCAGGCGGGAGGATCGTGCCACCTCGAAACGCCTTTCGAGGCTGAGTGGCCTGACACCTTTGGAAGGGTTTTTGGGAGCCCATGGTTCAAAAGGCTGTAGGGCAAAGAAACAAACAGCCCATGGTTCAAAAGGCTGTAGGGCAAAGAAACAAACAACAAATATGCGCTTTCGATTTTGCTGGTTTCGAAAGGCTGTGTGGCGAGCCCCTAATTTTGCACATTTGAGTAGTGGAGCGAAGGCTTCGTCTGTCCATTGAAGCGTGTCATCGGGCGTCACTACTCTCCAAATGGGCAGAACGAGACTGAATATTCCGCAGGAACATGGAAAATATACGTTCCCATGTTTTTTGCCTTCTGCGCATTGTAGCTGTGTATGCTTTCTGCGCATGTGGAGACTGGTTGTGGCTGTGTATGCCTTCTGCACATGTGGAGACCGCCGTCGATGATGGTGCCTTCACAGAGTGGTGGTCCCTGCAGCCATCTACCCTATATTTTTAATGTCTTCAAAATTAAAAGAAAAACTAGGCTACCAGCCGAGCCACCCGGGTCACCTTGTTTGCCCGGGCGGCCCGGCCGTGCGAGGACCAAAGAAGGTCCCAGCAAAAAAAAAAAAAAAATCAAAGAATTCTGCCAAAAAAAATAAAATAAAATAAAATCAAAGCAGAAAACTAAACTGAACAACTTTTGCCTGAGGGTCACATTGAAATTCCTTACGAAATTATAAATAAAAAATAACGTTGAAACTTGAAAATTATTTATTATTTTTTATTTATTTTTAGTTATTTTTTGCCTGGCCGGGCAACTGGTCCCGGGCCACTCTGGTAGCCTAGTTAGAAACTAAATATTTAATTCATAATTTAATGACTAACTAATCTATTTTATTATTTCTAAGTTATCCTTCTGCCTCTAATATTCCCTTTTTGTAGATTTCAGGAAATTTCAGGGACGCTTGACACTGCTCTTCCGAGCGGTTTCCAAGGTAGTTTGTTTTTCAAATGTTCTTCTGATATTATTTGTGTGGGAAAGTGGGTGTGGGGCCCTTTCCTGTCTTATTTCTTTTTTTTGGGGAGGGGGGGGTTTGGGGGGGGGAAATTCTGAAAAGTTTCCTCTTTTTTTTTATTGGGGGGGGGGATATTCTGAAAAGCTTCCTTTGTTTCTTCGTTAGAAAATAAATATTTAATTCATAATTTAATGACTAACTAATCTATTTTATTATTTCTAAGTTATCCTTCTGCCTCTAATATTCCTTTTTTGTAGATTTCAGGAAATTGCAGGGGCGCTCGACACTGCTCTTCCGAGCGGTTCGCTGACGGAAGCTCAGGGGGGCCCTGTGAAGGTCGAGAATGACACGTCAGAATTCCTATTGCACTCGTCAGCCGTTCTCTGGAAATCTCTGCAACGCTGCTGGCACGATGATGTATTCATTCCGACAGTCGCTGACAAATTCCTGCGACTTACATTGCAGCTCATTTCAAGGTGAGCAGCGAGTCTTTGTTTTTTTTTTTTTTTTGTTTTTTTTTTTTACTTTGGACCATTTCTCGGTTTATGCGTGTCATCCTTGAAAGCGCAGGGGCCATGCTAATCTTCTCTCTCTGTATCGTTCCCATTTTAACGGATGTCCCGAAGGACAGTGAGTCTTTGTTTTCTGTCAACAATTTTTTTTGTTTTTTGTTTTTAATATGTATATTTTGTGTCATCATAATATAAATTAATTTGATGACAGGCTTTTTTTTTTTTAATGATTAAAATTTGTATTTTGATTCTTGAACTATTTTCTTCTTTCCGACAGTTGCTGACAAATTCCAGCGACTGACATTGCAGCTCATTTGAATGTGGGCAGTGTGTCTTTGTTTTCCGTCAACCTATTTTTGTTTTCAATATGTTATGTTGTAATAATACAATTTATTAATTTTATACTATGATGATAGAATCAGATAGATTTTTTTTTTTTTTTTAATGATTAAAATTTGTATTGTGAACTATTTTCTTCTCTCTGACAGTTGCTGACAAATTCCTGTGCCTGACATTGCAGCTCATTTCAAGGTGAGCAGTCAGTCTTTTGTTTCCCTCAACTGTTTTTTTTTTGGTTATTTAATATTTTAGCATTTAGTACTATTTACCAATTTATTATGATAATAATCGTAATATAGTATTTTACTATTTTCAACTATTTTGAATCTTTGTTAGATTGTATTTTATTCATTTCTGCCAGTTGCTAACGACTTCCTACGCCTGACAGTAAGCTGCATAAACCTTTTTTCTTTTTTGTTGGATGTTTTAGTATTTAGTACTATTATCGATGGATTTTATGACAATATAAAATAGACTATTAATTAATATTGATAGTTAAGATTGTATGGGCGCAAAATTTGGGGAAAAAAAAAAAAAATCGGGTAGACTCTTTGTTTTGTCGCTAATTTGTGAAGTCGTTAACCCCTCTGTTAGCTGTGCATCGGCAGGTACACTCTTTGGATATCTGCTGGCCTGAATGCGCGGAAAGTAAACATAACGGGAGTGGGAACAGCGAGTGGTGGTGAATGGGCAACGACTGCGACAATTGAAGACTTTGTCTTGGTGAGAATAATTTGATGCCCGGCGATATTATTCCCTCAAAAGGGTGGGGTGGGGGGCGGGGGGGGGGGAGGAGCAAGGAAGGCCAAAAACTAGGAGGCGTCCCCGATTTGGCACTTCGTTGCTCTCATCTCCTATGACATAAAGAGTCGAGGATATTCATGGATGTAAAGTACATGCTCTGTGAAAGGGGAGCAGCAGTGTGTGTGTGTGTGTGTGTGTGTGTGTGTGTGTGTGTGTGTGTGTGTGTGTGTGCGCGCGCTTCGCTATACTCTACAGAGTCTACACCGCAAAAAGGCACGACTGTGCCAGCACTGTTACGTTGAACCAATCAATGAATTGTAAGGAGTTTGAGCCCTGATGGTGTGCCAGGATGCATTTGACTGATGGATAAGGACTCACCACGCCAGCCAGAGTTAGCGATACCCCTCAGAAAAGTGCAATCCTATCAGACCGTCGGTCCAATCCAAACCCCTGACAAGAATGGCAGCAAGTCTGAGGAACAACCATCTGTCACAGGCTCACAGCCAGAAAACCCACTCTACACACCCACTCAGCCACGGATATCCACTGGTTTTGTGTGTGTGTGTGTTTTGGCTGGCTGTTTTGTTCTTGTTGCTTTGGTATTATTACCTTGCTCATGTTCTTCTGTTGTCCATCCTCTCTTCTAATATTTACTTTCTGTGCCTGAGCTGATTTGCAGGTCAGACATGATGTGGATGTGGTGGCGCGGTTGCTGGAATCACAATACATTGACAGAGTGGTTGCTGTGCTAGCCAGCATGCCGGCAGAGTCGCTGTCTGGTGTTGCTCAGTGCATACGACAGAGTGCCCAGAAGTTGCGCGAACTGCTCCCAATGATTGCGGATATCATGAAAGAACTGCTCGCCGAGAAGAGCCAGGAGGTGAATGCCCTTCTGCTTTTCTCTTTGCTCTCTCGATCGCGCCCCTGCCATTCTGAAGTATCTGGCTGTTCTGTTCCTTTTGTATGTGCAACACATGATCCCTGGTGTTACAAAATCTGCCGATCCCGTGATGTTTCTTTTTGTCCCAGCTGGTGTCATTTATCTTCTTGCCCCTGTTCCTACGGACGCTCTGGCAGTCGTAGTTGCCCCAAGCGAGGCTCAATCATACACCTAAACTCGCGACGCCGGTTTAGTGAGAGTGCTGCAGTGCATGTCAAGCATGAAAAAAGAATGCAACATTTAGACT